CTCCCCACCCCCACACCCACCTTGCTGGTCTCTCCAGCCCTGGATGTGGGAGGTCTAGTCCACCATTGGGAAACCGGACTTGATTCCCAGCCCAAGGCCAAGGCAGCCACACAGGGTTCCCCAGATCTGGCAAGCCGGATGAGGCTCCCTGGCCCCGGCCTTCCTGAGGGAGGACTGAGCTAGGGAGGTCCTAAGGCAGGGAGGGAAGAAGGACAGGGCAGGGAGGAGGAGGAACTGAGTGAGGTCTGAGCCTCCCATGGCTGCTGTGACAAAGAACCACAAGCTTGGTGACCTCAGACACCAGACACCTCTTTCTCTCCTTGTTCTGGAGGCTGGAAGTGTGGAGACAAAAACCTCCCTAGGAGAGAGGTCCCTCCTTTGTCCAGCATCCAGGGGCTGATGGCGTTCATGAACTTGTGGCCACTTCAGTCCAGTCTGCACTACGTCTCCTCTGCCTGTCTCATAAGACACTGACCTGCTGGACACCACAGGACACTCTCAACTCAAAGTCCTAACACCAGACATCTGCAGAGACCCTTTCTCCACATGGCTAGCATTTACAGGTTCCAGGGATTTGGGAGCACTGTCACCCAACCATGGTGGGGTGCAGGAGGGATCCACCTTCTGCTAAACACTGTCTCCCCAGGAGCTCTGGGGTATGAAGGATACCATGGAGATCACCTTAATGTGTATCTGAACACTTGGTATGGGTACAGGATTCCCCAGGAGTGGGGAAGAATCTTCTGGGCATCTCTGCACAGAAAGTTCCCATCAGCCCAGAGAAAGGTGTACTCCAAAGAAAGGCGCAGAGCAGAGCTGTTAGCCACCACCAACATACACTGCAGCTGGGAGCTCTCTCTTCTCTCTCTCTCTCTCTCTCTTTTTCTCTTCTCTCTCTCAGTTGCTCACTGACTCACATCACACAGCCTTTATCTCAGTACCTCTCCCCAATAGCCAGTCTAGAGTCCATTTCCACGTAGCTCCCACCTCAACTTTCCTCTTCTCCCACATCAGGGCTCTGGTACAGGTGGCTGGAATCTGAGGTCAAATTCCTGAAAGAGAATGGAGAGAGAGCTCAGCTTGGGCCAGCAGTCCATCTCTCCCAGCCCCCAACCATCCACCTCTCCCAGTCCTGGGGCCAGGGCTCAGAAGAATGTGGAAATGGTGCTTCTGAGGTGGTCCTGGGCAGCTGGACAGAGCGAAGGCTCTCAGGCAGATGCATGGACCAGCACCTGCCTCACCAGGGTCCTGCCCTGACCCTGGGGCTGCACACAACCCTCCTGTGTAGAGAGATTCTCAAACCCCAGTGTCCACACAGTGTCTGCTCCCCACCCCGCCACCTGCTGGCTCTGCTCAAACTAGAACACAACACATGGGCAGCAATGAGGGGCAGAGAGTGACTGAGGCAGCTGCAGCCATAACTGAGTCACAAGTGCTGCCAGGAAAGATCCCTGTCACCTCCTGGACCAGGGTCCCCTCCATGGAGGACAGCCTCAAGCAAGGACCCTGGTGTCATAGATTCAAAACCACAGGATTTGAGTTGTGGTCACCAGGGCTGGGGAATGGAGTCAGTCAGAGGACACAAAAAAGGTGTTTGGGTGAATCAGGCTGGAGACTGGTGTCCAAGGGGAGCACAATGGGGATAAAATCACTCTTCTTTTGGGCTCCTGGTAAATGAGGAGATTCAAGCTGATCTTGCCACAAAAATAAAAAAAGAGAAGGAAATGGAAAGGGGAGGGGAGGAAAATGTCACTACGAGATGCTGTTCTGTTAATTTGCTTTGGAGTAATGATGCTCTGTTCATATTAATCTCATAGCATCAGGTTACATGCCTTAAATACCACATGAAATTTGTTTGTATGAATTTTTAAACTTTTTGAAATTAAACTTTAAAAATATAACTCATGACCCTTGATGCCGCCAGACATCTATCTAGAACTGATCCCCACACACACAGGCACACAGGCTCAGTAAAATGACTTCTAGCTGCCTCCAAAGTCTCTCCTCCATCTTGTGTTCTGTTCAAGTTCGACTCCTACCTCCCCCTCCCCTAACCCCTCCCAGGTGAACCTGGCCTGGCCATGTCTCCTTCCTGGTTGGTATTAACTTCTTTTGCACACAGGTTCACTCCCTAGAATGTGTTGGACATTAGGAGGGGCCCCTCCCATAACTTGGGCATTTGGGGGTGACGTGGGTGTGGCAGGTTTATGACAGTGACCTCTGTCCCACAGTGAAGACCCCAACTACATTCCTGGCTTGTTTTGAGTTTGCAGGAATTAGAATATTCATAGACACCTGCTCATTATCTTATCTGCTTTCATCTATCTATTCACTCAGACCCGGCCTACAAACACCACAATTTGACATGCTTTTACTAATACAGCCATTAGAATATGGTGCAGGCGTGTTGCAACAGTCACGATAAGCTCATGAAAGTGAAGTAACAAATTAACAGGGACTCTCCATGACTTAACCCAAGCAAGGGGCTCGGGCTCGGCTGGCCCCAGGCACCTGTGGGTTGTGTCTGTGCCACCAGCTCTGTGTATCTCACGACTCTGAGCCAATGTCAGCCACCACCTCAACACCAACCAGGCATCACCCCAGAGGGAAGGTGAGTTCTGGATGGTCCCTCGTTGGAAGTGAAACATCCCTACAAGGAAATGACACCTGTTCACAGCCCATAGGCCAGGAGGGTCACGTCCCCACTCAACAGCAAGAGAGCTAGAAGGACAAGCTTGCAGTGAGCCTGCAGAAGAACCAGAAATCATAGCAAACGCTCCTCGCCTCCATGTGCAGAATGCAGACTGGGCCATGGGTGGGTCACCAGGGAGCTGTGGGTACAGAGTCTGGAATACTCCAGCCACGTGTAACACTGGTTTTCTACTGGACCTAAACAACTCCACACACACCGGCATGCACTCACGTACACCAGCATGCACTCACGTACAAAGGCATACTCTCTCTCCCTTCCTCACTCCTCCTCTCTCTCCCTCCCTCTACCCCTCTTTCCTTCAAGAACTCAGCTCCTCTGTGACAACTGGACCTGATTGAGAAATGGAGGAGAAACAGCCTTGCATTAAAGATTCCCTGGGCTCTGGCGCAAGACAAGCCCTGGCCAGGCCACAAATTATAATCAAGCAGCTGGGCTTGTTCCAGTCAGCTTTGTGATCAGTTTTAAGTATCTCTGCTATCGGCAGACACTGAGGATGACAAACTCCTCCAACATATCAACGGAGCTGGGCGTGCGTTTCTCTTCCAAGTGATCGAGTGATCGATCACTCTGAGCAGGCTGAGTCTCACAGTGGCCTCTCTTGTGCATTTGCTGTCTGTGCTGCCTCGGTGTCAGACAAAAGGCACTGCATTGGCTATGCCTTTGTGATGTTTGCACAACCTAGTAATTTCTTCTCTGCTTTGCTTCATGCCTCTTTAAGTGCTCAAGGGAGGCTTTCATCTTTAAGAAGATAGAAACCAAGAAAGCCCTCAGGCTGAACAGTGACTGTGGGGGAAGGGAGACCTCACCTGGTCTGAGGCCTGCCTCTACCTCTTTCCAGCACACGTCCTTGGTCAGGTTCAACATCTGTGAGATGCAGGCAATACTGACACCTGCCTCCAGCCATGGTGCTGAGACCACGTGAGATACACATGTGCTCAGTAGCCCTATCCTGTACCAGATGCTCAATAAATGGGGATTCCTCATGCTCCCCTTCCCCACTCCATACCTGCCCAGCAAGGCCCAAGTAAGAGATGATGCTTTCCTGGCCCAGAGGTACAGCCTTCTCTCCCTCTCTGGGTGGTGACTTGTGAGATAAGAAGCCCCCTCCTCACCCCCACCCATGGTTCCGAAGGTCAAGGTTCTGGAACTCTGGAATCAGTTTCCTCATCTAGCCAAAGCCAAAGTGTGGGCAGAGCTGTGCTCTAGAGTCCTCCTTCCATCCTTACACCTCCCTCCACTTTCAAGATGGCGCCACAGCACCTACTTCTGTTTCCTGCAGTCACCAAATCTCTCCCTTCCTCCCTCTCATGGCAGCTGGATTGCAGCTAGGGCCAACCTAAGGAATCTAGGGTAATCTCCCTCTCTCGAGATCCTTAATTTAATAACTCACAATAGCCAACATGTGGAAACAGCCTAGGCACCCACTGGCACGTGAGCGGCTAAGGGACCCAAGGGAAATACACACAGGGCAACACTAGTTAGGAAATTGTGCCACTTTCACCAGCACAGATGAACCTGAAGGATGCTGTGCCCTTCAGAAAGACAAACACCAACACACAATGTCACTTATATGTGGAATCCAAAATAGTCAAGCTCACAGAAGCAGAGACAGAAAGTATGGCTGGTGGCTGGGGGCAGGGAAAGGTGGGTACAGTTTTAGTTACTGAGGGTGAATAAACTCTAGGGCTCCAGTGTACAGCATGGTGACTACAGGGAATGACACCATATTGTGTGCAGCTGCCAAGACAAGTGATATTAACTGTTCTCACCACAAATGCAAACAGAAGTTACTGTGGAGGCGATGGGTGTATGGACCAAAATGACTCTGGTCGTCATCTCACGATATATATGGCAAGACATTGTGCTGCTTTCTGTAAATGTATGCGATTTTATTTGATAATGACTTACTTGCCAACACTGCTGGGGATAAAAGGTCCTTAGCTTATGGTAACAGCAGCTTCTGTGCTCCAAAGCAACCAGCCACCAGGTGCTGGTGGCTCACTCCTGTAGTTCCAGCTACTCAGGAGGTAGAGATCAGGAGAAATCATTCACTAGATTTCAAAAGAACCCAACACACACACACACGGGGTTGGCAGAGTGACTCTAGTGGTAGAGCACCTGCCTAGCAAATGAGGATTTAAATTCAGACCACAGTACTGCCAAATAAATAAAATGAAAGTAACCAGCCATGTTGATTACTGGGATTCATTCTCAAAACAGCCTCCTTTCTCGGACTATGGAACACAATGAAAATTCACCTTCTCCCTTCTCTCCCACCTCTCGGCAGGTTTCTGACAAATGTGACTACGTCTTTGTCAATGGGAAAGAGATGAAAGGCAAGGTGAGCGTGGCAGTCCACTTCACCTACCAGCACCTGCACAGTGCTCTGGAGATGACGGTGTGGGTGCCCCGGCTCCCGCTGCAGATCGAGGTCTCAGACACCGAGCTCAACCAGATCAAGGGCTGGAGGGTCCCCATCATCTCCAACAAGAGGTGTGTGTCTGTCAGGGCTCCATTGCAGAGACTCACGCCCATAGCGTAGGCTCACAGGGAAGTGGGCAGGCAGCTAACTCCAGAAAGGCCGGACCCAAGGATTCCCATGATACCTTAAGGCCTGAGTCTCTCTCTGTCCCTCTGCGCTGATTTGCTCTGGGCGTCACCTTTCCTCCACCCTGACCTCTCCACAGCTCTTGTGGGCAGTGCCTCCTCCCCTTCCTCACAGCTCCAGCAAAAGTCCTGAGCCAAAGTCTTGTCTTCACTCAGGTGTGTTCCCACCACTTATCTAGTTCCCTTAGCCAGGTAGCAAGAGTACACTAAGTGGGCAGGTAGGCTGCAGTCACTAGCCCCCAGCTGAAGACAGAGGAATCAGAGGAAGAGACCACCCTGCCTAGCCCAGAGCTCAGGCCTGGGAGAAAGAGGGGAGAACCAACATTGGGAGGGAGCATGCAACAGGGCCCGTGGAGAGGGGATGGAGCCGTTTCTGCCTGGCCAGGGCTGTGGCTTATAACCCAGTGCAGAAGCTCTGAGCTCTGCCTGAGCTCTGTGCACCTGAACACACTTGGTTGGGGTTTGGTAGAGTTGTAAGAGTCTCTGTCACCCATCCAGCAGCCAGATGAGCACCAGGAAGGGAGAGTCACAGGCATCAGGTTCACCATTGAGACTGTGTCTCAGAGACTCCATAAAAATAAAGGCACGTGCTAGGAATATACTGCATGTCAGAGTAAGTAGAGTCACACAGGAACAATTCCTGCCTGTGGGCTGTGGATGGTTCTCACCTGAGGGGACTTTGATGTTCCTCCCCTTAGAAGCCCACCCCTTCCACCCTTTTGTCTCCTGGGAGAGCAGACAGCTTGCAGACAAAGGCTGTGGGTCCCGTGGACATTCAGATGACAGTTTCAGCAATGGTACATCTCTGGAGTATGCAGTGCTGGGATGGGAGGATGGGGTTAGGAGTGAACTGGAGACTGCAGAGGGGAGAGACTATAGGGACAGATCCACCAGGACCAGATTGGTCTGCTTGTGGCTCGTCGCAGATTCTGCCACAGCTGTGGGCTCAGTTATGGCAAGGAGCTCCTGGGAGAGGTGCCAGCTGCTGTCCTGATGGAGCCTGAGACACACTGTGCAGGGGCCGGCTGTGCCAGATGCCGAGGGAGGATCTGTGTCTGTCTCCTTTGAATCACCCCAGTCCTTCTCACAGTTCCTGCTGAGGGTCACCTTACCTTGGGTTACACGCCCACCTCCATCAGGTGCTGGTTTAGAGGGTGACACCAGTCATCAGAGTTCTGACAAATTAGTTGTCCATGCCTGTGTGACTTAGGGGTTTACCCCAAGATTTATTAGTTTAAAAGTCATCCCAAGGCTAGACATGGTGGCTCGCACCTGTAATCCCAGCTACTCGGGAGGCACTGAAATCCAAGGCCAGTCAGGCAAAAAGTGAGACCTCATTTCAATCAAAAAGCTGGGTGTCACCCCTGGGGATAAACCCAAAAGACTGTGACACAGGTTACTCCAGAGGCACCTGCACACCCATGTTTATTGCGGCACTATTCACAATAGCCAAGTTATGGAAACAGCCAAGATGCCCCACCACTGACGAATGGATTAAGAGAATGTGGTATCTACACACAATGGAATTTTATGCAGCCATGAAGAAGAACGAAATGTTATCATTCGCTGGTAAATGGATGGAATTGGAGAACATCATTCTGAGTGAGGTTAGCCAGGCTCAGAAGACCAAAAATCGTATGTTCTCCCTCATATGCAGACTTTAGATCTAGGGCAAATACAGCTCTTGGGTCACATGACAAGGGGACAGCACACACGGGAGGTATGGGATAGGAAGAAAACTCTAAACATGATAGTATTTGATGTCCCCACTGCAGAGGAACTAATACAAAAACCTTAAGGTGACAGAGGTTATCATGAGCAGGGGATCAGGAACTAGTAAAAAGATCAGTTAGAGATGAATCAACTTGGATTGTAACGCATTTGTACATGGAAGCAATGCTTGAAATCTCTGTATAGCTGTCCTTAACTCAACTAGCAAAAATGCTTTGTCTTTCTTATTATTGCTTATTTCTACTCTTCAACAGAACTGGAGAAAAGCTCAGAACAGGTTCTGCCTGGAATCGAGGCGGGGTGGGAGGGAGAAATGGCCCAAACAATGTATGCACATGTGAATAAATGAATAAAAAATAAATAAATAAATAATAAAAATAAAATAAAAAGTACTACAGACACTGAAAAAAAGTAAATAAGCTGGGTGTGGTGGTGCACGCCTGTCGTTCCAGCTGTGTGGGAGGCATAGGTAAAAGGATCGTGGTCTGAGGCTGGGCGTGGACAGAAGTGCAAGACCCTATCTGAACACCAGCTAAAGTTAAAAGGGATGGAGGTGTGGCAAGTGGTACAGCACCTGCCTAGCAAGGGCGAGGCCCCAAGTTCAAAAAACAGTTCAAACTGTCAAGAGAAAGTCATTCCAAAACTTGGCATGGCTTGAAAGCACAGTGTGTATTGTCCCTTGGTTTCTGTGGGTTGGGAAGTAGGCATGGCTGAACTGGGTCCCAGGAGCTTGGTCTCTTCCGGGCTTCAGTGTGCCTGCCTGTGCGGCTGAGGTCCCATCTCAAGGTGCCTGTGGGAAGGGGCTACACCCAAGCTCACTCATGTGCTGGGGAGGACTCAGCTCCTCACTGGCTGTTAGCCAGAGGCGACTCAATTTCAGGCCATATGGGTGTCTCCATAGGACAGCTCAGAACATGGTACCTTGCCTCATCAGGGCGGGCAAGTGAGAGAGCCAGGGAAAGAGAACACAGCTACACGGATGTCACCGTCTTTAAAACCTAATCACGAGAGACCATCCAATCATGTCTTTTTAATCAGGGTAAATTAATCATATAAAATAAGGGGCTTCATTGTGACATTTGCATACACACATATAACGTACTTCGGTAACGTTCACCTGTTACTCTTTCTTATCTCCCTCCTAGTCCCCTTTCCTTCCAGGACCCCTTTTCCTTTCTTCCCCTTTCCCCAGCCTCCAGAAATGAGAGAAAACCTGTGGTACTTGTCGTTATGGGACTGGCTTATTTCACTCACATGATGAACTCCAGTTCCATCCATTTCCCAGCAAATGACGTCTTTTCATTGCTAATGGCAGAGTAAACCTCCACAGTGCATATACACCATGTCTTCTTCATCCTCTCATTGTTGGTGGGCACCTAGGCTGGTCCCATAGTTGGGCTACTGTGAATAGTGTAGCTATAAACATGGGTGTGCAGGTGTCTCCATAGTAAGACATCTTTGACCCTCGGGGTGCACACTCAGGAGTGTCTGTCCATCTGCACTGACTCTCTGACAGGCCAGCTCGGGACAGTGAGGAAGAGGACGACGATGAGAGGAGGGGCCGAGGCTGCACTCTCCAATACCAGCATGCCATGGTGCGGGTCTTGACACAGTTTGTGGCCGAGGCGGCTGACCCTGGGGGACACCTGGCTTACCTGCTGGGCTCGGACTGGCAAGTGGACATCACAGAGCTGATAAGTGACTTCGTGCAGGTGGAGGAGCCCAGGATTGCCAAGCTGCAAAGAGGACAGATCCTGGCTGGGCAGGAGCTTGGGATGACCACCATCCAGGTAAGAAGACCCTGCCCATGCTCTGCCAGGTGACAGCTCAGCGGGTGCCATTGCTTTCAGCAGATTCTATTTTGGGGTAACAGTGATGAGATTGTCAGGTAAACATTGTGAGTGGCTTTATGATACAAGAGTATATATATTCTTGTATCTCATATATCACACATGAGGACACTGGACTGCATCTCCAATTGGTCGTGTTTGAGACTGACGCACGACTTCCGCAGGAGCCATGGTAGTTCTGGCCGTCTTGTGAGCTCTGGAGGGGAGGTGGCCTTGTCTGGTCCACAGGCATGGCCAGCTCTTGCGTGGCACCTGCACTCCCCTGACTGTTGCCACCTAAGCCAACCACGCCTGCATGACATGGAGGCTGCCACCCCCACCCTGTCCCAGCTTCAGGCCTAGGAAACCTGAATATCTCAGAAATATGCAGGGGGCAGGAGCACAACCGGCTGATCTCGTGGGTTCTGACTTCTAGGGCTGGGAGTGCAGGGTCACAGCTCTGTGCGGGGGCCTGGCATGGGCTGGTTCTTTAACTCCCATTTGAGAGCAAAGGAAGGACTCGCCCTCAGAAGGCCAGGTTTAGAGGAGAGGAGAGTGTCTCGCTAGCAATGAGGGAGGTTTCTAAAGCAGCTGTGCATTCGGACCCTTCAGCTGAAACGATTTCGAATTGTGGAATATTTTCAATAAAATATCCATCTTGGAAAATGGGCTGGTTTTGCAAGAGAGCAGTTGAGTCAAGGAGGAGAACACAGTCATCCCTCAGAATCCCCAGGGAGATTGGGTCCAGAAAACACCAAAGCCAGCAGATTTTCAGTCCCTTGCATAAAATGGTGCAGGGTTTGCACAGAACCTCCCCACATCCTGCCATATACCTTAAGCCATCTCTCGATTCTTACAATAGCTAGTACGTATCGTTATGCAGTGTAGTTTGGGAATAACAAGAGAAAAGTCTGTGCGTGTTTAGTGCAGAATCAATGTGATTTCAAGTCTTTCTGATCTGCATTTGGTTGAACCTGCAGACGCAGAGTCCGTGGATCTGTGGGCCTGGAGTCACATGCTCACATGGGCCCTAGAAGCGGAGAAGGTGCCATCAGTGAGGGGGCAGGCGAGGCATGAGTTGACAGGTGGGGACCCTTGGGAGCCCTCGGTGTTGGGAAGACAACAGGTGACGGGGCAGGCGGACAGGAGGAAAGACAAGCCCTGTGTGGCCACATGACACACCTTTTCTAGAAGGGATGGAAATCTATCTTTTTTACATAAAATCTTCTGACTATTGTAAATGATGGTCATCGATTCCATTTTAAAGTGATTTATATCAAACAAACGGAGGCAGCCAGAGGAGGAGGAACACTCCAAGATGTGAGGGTCACAGGGAGTGACCAGCCTTTGTCACTTGAGTAAGGGGAAGGCAAGGACAGGCAAGGTCACAGATAGGTGTTGAAAACAGACTTCCTGCTCAGGGTCTAAGCTGGACAGAGCCTCACTCTTGAGTCACTACAGCTGTGCAGAGGAGAAATGTGACTGGGGTGTTAGCACCGGCCATAGGACTGACACAGGATGATGTTCCAAAATGTCCCTAGGCACCACTGTGGCATTTGCAAATGCCCACTGGAGACAGGAGTGGAAAAGAGGGTACCTAGGCCAACGAGCCGTACCTTTTAGTTACACACTGGCTTTCATGTGTGAGGGAGAAATAGACAAATATGCAGCTAGCTACCAGACCCATTATTCTTTGTTGAGATGAAGGCTTTTTAGAAACAAATTGGTTAAAACATTTTAAACAAATATGCACCAGCAATAGCAGAAGTGATCCGTGCTGTGTATGAATCACGATACTCAAATGAACTCAAAAATGTTGATTCCTGCTGTCAAGGATGAGGGTGGACAAAGTGACAAACGGAGTTTTGTTTGTTGGTTTTCTGGTTGTGGGACTTGGATTTGAACTTGGGGCTTCATGACTACAAAGCAGATGCTCTATTGCTTGAGCCATATCTCCAGTTCATTTTGCTCTGGTTATTATTTTGGAGATGAAGTCTCTTAAACTATCTGCCCGAGCTGGCCTCAAACCACTCTCTTCCTTATCTCAGTTTCCCAAGTGCCTAGGATTACAGGTGTGAGCTACCAGAGCTCGGCTGACAAATGGAACGTATTTGTGGGGTGGAAGCAGGTGACAAGCACCCCTCTACCCTCCCTTGCTGTGATACTTCCACAAAGATCTAGGTCAAGAGGAAGGTGTCATGGGAAAGGCTCATTCCAGATACTGGCTTCTTTGTCTGTCTCTGTCCCTCACCCACACGGAGCACACTTTGTGCCACTGATCGAATTTCAGAACTGCAGAGAGCCTCTCCTTGTCATGTTGGTTCTGTCCTGCAGATCCTGTCCCCTCTATCAGATGCCATCCTGGCTGAAAAGACCATCACTGTGCTAGATGAAAAGGTGACCATCACAGACCTCGGGGTCCAGCTGGTGACAGGACTGTCGCTCTCCTTACAGCTCAGCCCCGGAAGTAACAGAGCCATCTTTGCCACTGCAGTGGCTCAGGAACTGCTGCAGAGACCCAAACAGGTAAGGGCAGGAGGGGGTCATCACACAGCAGGTGGAGGCCTGATCAGATGAGTCACACACTTGTCCAGAGCATTAATGAAAGACAGGACACACTTTTCAACTGTAAAAGGGGCCTGTGAAGCAGGAAGCCACTCTTTCTCATGCTCCCCAAGCAGAGATGGAAGGAAACTGCAGCAAGTAAACCATGACCATCTTGCTGCAGGTCTCTGGAGAAACACTGCCCCTACCCACCACAACGCACGGTCACTTGGTAGTGTCCGGGCTGGTCCACGCTCTCTTTCTTCCTCTGTCCAGACAGCCCAGGCTGGACACACTGAGCCTCACCCAGCAATGGATGAGGATAGGAACAGAGTAGTCAGGAGTCCCCATGGCGTGCAGCCAGGTCCCCCCGCCCTGAGGGAGTCCAGGTGGGGGTGCGGGGGTGGGGATTTCAGGAGACTGTGTCCACTTCCACATCGTTGAGCTCAAGGAGGAAAGAGGACTGTGGCGAAGCGAATCCAGGTTTTCATTCCTTTCCGTTAAAGCCAGTGTGCTCCTGCAGTGTGCCGTGGGTGTCTGTGTATGTGTGTATACTGTGTCGATGTATGCGTGCTTTATGTGTTATGCTGTCTGTCTGTGTGTATTCCTACTGTACATGTGCCTGGCTGTGCACGTGTGTGCTGTGCATTGTAAGTATATTATGATGTGTGTACTGCATGTGTGTGTGTGTATGGTGTGTGCGTGTGCGTGTGTGTGTGTGTGTGTGTGTGTTGGTACCATGTTTCCAAACAAAGTGGACTGTTCATAGGTGAACCTGCTCGCCTCCCTCTTTAGAGGTGGGCAGACATGATTCCTTAGAAAGAGAGATCTGTGTGAACTTGCTTGACAGCAAAAGACGCAGTCCCAGGCTGCTAATTCTTACTGGGGCTTGCAAGAGGAGACATCCTCAAGCCACGGAGATTTTTCTGGCAGCCTCGCTATCAGTCCTGAGTCCTTCCCCTGCCTCCCTCCCCTCTGCAGACTCACCCTGAGACTCGTCTCACGATGGTGATCACAGCAGGAAGGAGGCCAAGCTGGGCTGTCCAGGAGGCACACAGAACCACCACCTCCAGGTTCCCAGCCTGGATGGACCTCTCACTCCGTCCCCTCCACCACATGTCAGCTGACACCCTGACCCTCTCACTGTGGCCTTTGCATGCAGGGCTTGGGGTTAGAAACCATTTGAGGGTGGATGATGCCAGCAACAGATAGCAATTCTTGGCAAAATCGAACCTCTTTTGTCCAGAAGGGTGCCAGCCAGGATGCAAGGGGCAGAGAGAGCAAAGGAGAAGTAAGCAGAGGCTTCTTCTGTCTTAGTGGGGTGATAAAAATCAGGGGGCCGCCAGCTAGAGTTAAGAATATGGTAACACACGGCTGGAATAAGAGCGAATCCATTTCGCCGAGGTAAACATGGCGCCCTGAGATTTGCTCCATACTTGGCGAGACGACCCTTGGTCCCTGTGGGCGGTTTGGCTCTGACGCTATACCTTCAAGAAACCCCTTGCACATTTGAATTTCCTGCTGAGGAAATTTACAGATTTACAGAGCCTGGACAGTCAGTGCTTTTACACAGCGCCTTGGGTTTTCCACGTAGCAGCTGGTTCACCCCAATGTCTAACAAGATAAGTAGCTACCGGCCAAGCTGGAGAAAGGAGCAGAGGCCACCAACCACGTTTGAGGAGCCTTTCTTGTCACTTCTGGAGGCTGAACAAGGTTTACCTCTGCCATGGTCAGAGGCCCCTTGGTTGGAAGACAGAGAAACAGAAGCAAGCTTAAATAATAAGGACTGTCTCATTAGGATTAAGGGAATCTCAGACTCCAGCTGTAAGACCCCAAACAGTCTCTGTGGTGTCCACTCTCACTGCTCTGTGACTTTAATTGGTTTTAGTTTTTTCTCTTCCTGTGGGGAAATGCTGTACCCAAGTGTTTGCTTATACGAGCTCCACCGTGCTTGGCCCAAAGTGGGGCTCCATTCCCCAATTCTAGGTAAGTTCTCACTAATTGTCTCTCACGGCTAACAGCTTCAGTCTGTCTTTCTTCTTTCACAAGAAAGAAAGAGAGGGGAGGGAGGGACTGACCGGCCACTTGGTGCTGCCCAGACTAACGGCTCTAAAGCAGCCGTCTCCTCCTTCAGGCCAGCGATGACCAGCAAGAGGGCCACCTGCTTCACAGAGCTGATTAGCTTTCTGGGTTGGGGTGGAGCAGGCTCTCGGCGGAGCTGGAGGTGGAGGGAACCTGTGGGCTGTGATCCATCATCAATCACGATGACCTCTTCTCTGAAAAAGGCTGGCATTAACTCAGAGTTTGTCTCCAACCATTCATCTGCTCAAACTACTCAGAGTAGACATTGGTCTAAAGCAACAAAGTGAAGAAGGCCAGAGATGGAGATGTGCACAGGCCTCGGCTGGGGCTCCTTTTGTATCTCTCAGAGGTTGGGGCAGAGGGCACAGTGGGGTGGAGGGGAGGGGAGGAAATAAAGATAAAATCTCCACCCAGCATATTCCTCTCTCTCTGGCTGGTTTCACTCCTCACCTGTAAGGCAAGATTGTGCCCCCAGGGAAAATACACACCCTAGCCCTAAAGAAGGCAAGTCAATAAAACCAAAGCCTACAGCACCTGGGGTGGGCCTCAACTCTGTGTTGTGTGTAACAAGAGGAAACTGAGTGCTAAGTGTAAAAATAACGTGATAAAGACTTTCCATTTCAATGTGTGACCTTGTAAACATCCCAGTCACACCCTGCGGATATGCAGTTTATTACTGTAGCTCCTGAACAGAAAAATGCAAATCTTATCGGGGGTGGGGCTTTTATTTTTGTGCCCATCTGTTTGGGCAGTACGGGGATTTGAACTCAGGGCCTCGTGCTTTTTAACAGAAGTTCTCCTTCTCGAACCACACCTCCAGTCCTTTTTGCTCTGGTTATATTTGAGATAAGGTCTTGCTTTTTTGCCCAGGTCAAAATTCTATTAAACTTCCTGCCATAGCTAGGATGATAGGCACGTTCTGCCATGCCCAGCTTTCTCCATTAAGATGGTTTCTCCAGAAACTTTTTGCCTGGGCTGGCCTCGAACCACAATCCTTCTTATCCTCACCCTCCCAAGTAGTTAGGTTTCAACTGTGAGGCACCATGCCAGGTTAAAGACTGATCTTTAATTCCCCCGTGGTACTTCTCACCTCTGTTTCCATGCTTAACCGAATTTCCTTGTTCCTACAGGGTGCATCCTGTCCCTTATGTCTGTTTTTATAAACGTGCTGCTTAGCGAGCTTTCCAACCCTCTGACCTCCCTCTTTTACTCCACAGGAAGCAGCAGTCAGTTGCTGGGTGCAATTCAGTGACGGGTCAGTCACACCCTTGGACATTTATGACGGGAAGGACTTCTCCCTGCTGGTCTCATCCTTGGATGAGAAGGTGGTCTCCATCCACCAGGACCCCAAGTTCAAGTGGCCAATAATTGCTGCTGAAACTGAAGGACAAGGAGCTCTGGTGAAGGTGGAGATGGTCATCAGCGAATCATGCCAGAAGTCCAAGCGCAAGAGTGTGCTGACCATGGGAACGACAAATATCAAGGTTAAATTTGGCCAAAATGATGCAAACCCCAACACCAGTGACAGCGGACACTTTGGGGCCAGGGTTCGCCTGGACAATAATATCAGTGACAGGAGATCCAAAAAGCCCTTGCAGGAGTGGGTGAAACCTGAAGGGCAGTACCACAGCAGCTCCTCCCTAGGGCTCATGGAAGGAAGGGGCAGCACCACAGAGAGGTCGACCTTCCAGAACAGTGATGGTCGGGAAAGCTTGCTGGATGATGACAGCCACTTTCAGACCGCAGCCATGGACCTCACCAGCTTCCCAGACCTCCCTGGAAGCAACTCAGACATGGACGAGGATGATTTGGCCCAGGTGGCCAAGGGGCTGAGTGACCTGGAGATTGGGATGTATGCTTTGCTGGGCGTCTTCTGCCTGGCCATCTTGGTCTTCTTAATCAACTGTGTGACCTTTGCACTGAAGTACAGACACAAGCAGGTTCCCTTCGAGGAGCAAGAAGGTCTGAGTCGCTCCCATGACTGGGTTGGGTTAAACAACCGGACAGAGCTGTTGGAGAACCACATGAACTTCACCTCCTCCCAAGATGAGCAGATCACTATCCTTGACAGGGGTCTGGACGTGGAAGAGAACAAATTCCTCCTCAACACCAGCTCCCCTAACAGCACCAGCGGGCAGCTGTTCAAGGCCACAGGAGCCACACTCACGGACGGGAAGGACCAGAAAAGCGAGCCCCCAACGTCCCCTACCTCGAAAAGGAAAAGAGTGACATTTACCACCTTCTCTGCCATCCCCTCAGATGACGGGTGCCCCTCGAGGAACACTATGGTGATGAGTAGTGAGGATGACATTAAGTGGGTCTGCCAGGACCTGGACCCTGGGGAGTGCACAGAGCTCCACAGCTACCTGGAAAGGCTACAGGAGAATGTGTAAGCCAGGCCTACCCAGACATTTGTTCTCATTCACCTTTCGGCCTTTAATTCGGGCATGTGTGGCAACTGTGTACCTGGGGACAGAACGAGGTGACAGGGCAAGATAAGGGTGATGCTGTCAATACAGTCCAAGAAAAATGACTTCCGCTCAGATAGGGAGGCCATGATTTGGCATCACCACACATCTCAACGTGCAATGTCTTGCTCAAAGTTTAAGAGGTTTATCACACATGGCAAGAGTTTTTAAACTTGGAGCAAAAAGTGAGCTCCAAATCACTGAACTGCAAGACCTTCCAGGAAAGACTAGTCTCTCTTTAATCAAAGCAATTCAGATTTTGTAAGATCCACATGGTTCTTGTACCCAATATGGCAGATGAAGGAAGAAGAGTGGGAGTGGGGTTGAATGGGCAGAGATGGGAGGAAGTGTGCCATTGTGTGCAGGCAGCAGGGCTCATCATGAGCAGAATTGCAGGCCATGTGGTGCCACAGGCAGCTCCGGGAGGCACGGGAGTGAGCTATCACCTTCCAAAGACTGAGTCAGAGCTGGCCCCGGTTACAGACAGGCCAAGGCAGATGCCGAGAAGAGCAAATAGACCACCGCATCTTTGCAACGACATGCCAAGGACAGACAAACGCACACGACTCTTTGCAGCATTCAGAGCATTTTTCAATCTGAAAACTGAAGACATGGGGTACAGGACCTCACAGGCTCAGAGGACAGGCTCTTGCAGCAAGCTCCCTCTGTTAACGTCCACGCTGCCTTCCAGGAGCTGTGGGACATTTGGGGGCTGGGCCGGAGAGGACAGTTTGCAGCATTTATTGTATCCCTTTTCTCTCTGAGCTTTGTGTCAGTCAAGTCCAGGTGACTTCTACAGAGAAGCTTCCAGGGACATACTTCACTATGAAGAGGCTGGTCTTGGGGTAGTAAGGTCCAAGAACTTGTCATTCTGTGTCCTTGTGGAGTGAGGGGTTTGTGCAGAGATAGGACTTGGGTGAGTAAGAGGAGGTGGTGGGAAGCGAGGCCCAGACACATTTGGACAGCACGGGACGCTCTTTCATGATGGAAAGAGGGAGGGTGAGAGGCAGCACATGTGTGTGTAATGGGTGGTGCAAGTTCCTAGAGCATTCTCACTCATCTCATGCCACTCCATAGCAGAGAACGAGGGACTGGATAATTGCCCACAAGACGTGACCCTAAGAAAGACAGTTGGGGGGTGGGGCATGCTGTTGGAGCCATCTTTTTTCTTCTCTTTGTATTTTAAACTTTGCATCATTCTCTCTCTCTCTCTTTCTCTCTCTCTCTCTGTCTCTGTCTCTCTGTCTCTCTGCATATATATATATATATATAAACTTCTCTTCCTCTGTGTCTGAGTTTCTCTGAACCTATTTCTGCTTCCCTCCTCTTCTGTTGCATTATCCATCTGTGTGTGTGTGTGTGTGTGTGTGTTTCTTCCTCCCCCTCTTGCTCTTCCTTCTCTCCTGGTCCCTCTCTCTCTCTGTCACGTAACTGAGTTTCCCCAAGAAGATGCACGTGTGAGTCCCAGCTTCTCCTGCCCGCCTGGCCCCCTCCCCTCCCATTGTGGTGCTACCCACTTGCTCTGAGCTTGGGATTCCTGCAGCCAGCAAGCCACCTGCTCCCATCTCCACCGTGATGCATCATGTTTGGCTGGGTGGCTAAAAAGTCACCACTTTGCCATGATGACCCTTTCTTTTTTGGTCACCTCCTTACTATTTCTTCCGATCCTCACCTGTGTAACGTTCCATGGAATACCACAGCTGCTGCCCACTCCCAAACCCACCTACATGTATTGTAGATTGTAAGAATGTAACATATATTTATAAACGCACAGACTGTAAATATAAACCATGCACTCTGCGGCTTTATGACTGTCCTTTGTCTTTCCACACGCTGACCCCTCCCCCCCGCCGCCCTGCCACTCCACGGGCCCACCATCAATTGCAAATGGCTTTCCCTATGCTGTGGCTTTTGGTAAATGAAAGTACAGATTTAAGGATCCAGCTCAATCCAATTACACCCTGACATCGTGTAATGCGCTCTCTGCACTGAGAGGATGTTGACACGTGATGACAAAGTGCATTGTGTGTTAAGTGTTCCTCCCCCAGGACCTGAAAGGATTTGCAAATAAATCACACATGTAATTCTCCCCTAAAAGCCTGCTGATGGATGGTGCAGTACATGAGCGCCAAGGCAGACAGGCAAGCCCATTCCCCACCTCCCTTCTCTACCCTCCCCCTCCCCCCCTCCCTACTCTGGGGTCTCCTTGTATTTACATAAGGACTGGGCTGGGCTGAGAGGTTCATCTTTACATCCCTGTCTTCACCATGGCCCAAGACAATTCCACACAGACAGAAGATGGTGGAACCCTGGGACAGATGGCCATGCGGTGAACACTGGGTCATTCGTCACTTAACACGCTTTTACTGAGCAACTACTCTGGACCAGGAGCGACCGAGCACTGGAGACAGAGCCATGGATGGGACACACACCCCTCTCGCAGACCTTACTTACATCCGGGAATGGCCCATTAAGGAGAAACAAAGTAATTTCTGGAAGGCAAAGATTTTACAAAAGACGTTAAAAACAAGTCAAAAGTGTGAAGCCAACATTTACAATTTTGGCCCTTTCACCTACAAAACCCAAGGTTCTTCTGTCACTTGCAGAACCAGACACTGGGAAAAGGACTTGCATGAGTGGTGTTGAGGGTGGGGGTCCCTCCATCCCAGTGTCTCCTGGGCTCAAAATGGCAATTCTGTTTGTCCCCATCTTATGACTCTTCTCCCAGCCGAGAAATGCTTCTCCCAGTTTTGTCTCCACCCAAAAGTGGGGAGAACAGATGCAAATGGAAGGCATGTTTTCAAGACAGCCAGCGAAGCATGTGTTCTTGCTTAAAGAGGGAGAACATGCCGGGTAGCTCCCAGACAGAGAGGTGGAGGGCAGAGAAAGGAGAGCAATTCCTCAGCCTGGGCGGGAAGAGAAAGCGGAGGGCGCTATTCCAATTCCCAACAGACACTTACTTTAGGTTCGAATGGGAGGAAGAATTGGGGGCAGGTTCCGTGGCCATAGGTGGTCATAGCAGGCAGCCACAGATCTTCTAGCTTATTGTCTCAGGATGGCTCAGGTGAGGCCTTGTCACAGTATGAGTCATTGACACCTGGCAGGCGGTCTTGTTTCCTAGCCAGGTCCTTTCTGGGTTCCAAGCTAGCTGTAAAGTGACTGAAGGGGAGAACGGCTCAAAGGACACAGATGCAAAATGGAAGCCAGGGGTGCCTAGCGTTTCTCCTGCTTTCTGTTAGCTCATGGGCCCAACTAAAGAGTTGGTTCTCCTCAGCAAAAGAAGCTTTTAAGCACCTGTCGCTATCGTCGCAGTAATGGGATGAAATGTTGCGGGAAACGACAAGGGAAACAAAGCCACCGAGACCATTTTTACAGGAAGCAGGGAGTTTATTATGCTAGTGGATTCAGGGGAGATAATTTCTCAAAGACCTGAGCCCCGATCTGTGTCAGGGGCTTACAGAGTTTGTCCCCCAACCCCCTACAGAATGTGGTCACAATTACAGGAAACACTGCAGAGCTAGCTGGAGGCTTGCAACTTTGCAGAGCTACCAGAAAGCTGCCTGTAGACTCAGAGTGGGGAAACCAAGGTGACTACCAGACACAGTAAATCCCAGGAAAGTAGCCAAGCTGGCCCCAACACCATGTGCTCAGTGACGGGACAGTCTCGATGACATTGCCAGTAGGAATAAAGCCATCCTGCCCCCTTTCTCTCCCACCTGGCCTTGTGCTCTCCTTTCTGCCTCCTGTGGACCTCTGGAAACACAGTCTCCCTCCCTGTGCTGGAGACCACACTGAAAGCCACCAGAACCAGCCTCCACAGCGCCCCGGGGCTGCCTGCTCACTGCCTCCTGGGTTCTCCCTGCCGCAGTCCCTGATAACTCTTTGCTGGGTGGCTTGAACAGTTGCCACTTACTGTCTCACAGCTCTGGAGGCAGAAGTCTGCCAGACTCTGATGGTCCAGGTGCCATCAGAGTTGATTTCTGAGGATTTGAGGGGAATAGGCTCCAGGCCTCTCCTGTGCTTCTGCATTTTTGCCGACAATCCTCGGTGTGTCTTGCCTTTAAAAGCCCCGTTTGGTATCCACCTCCATCTTCACATGGTGTCCCCCGGGTCCTTTTTCTTAAGGACCTCAGCCTATAGGGTTGGGTCTGTCGTTCTCCAGGGTGACCTTGTCATAACCAGTACATCTGGAAAAGCTCTCTCTAAGTGAGGTCGCACATCCTGGTACCAGGGATTAGGTCTTCCTCCTATGAGTTTTGGGAGGAGAAAACTCACCCCGGACTTTGGTCCTGACGGCTGATTGTGATAAACATCAGCCTGAGCCCTGGGTGAGTGGACTGCCAGGACTGTATTTCTTCCATCACAGCCTGCCTCCCCCTCGGTTTACAGTCACTTTACAAATAGGCTATGCTGGGCATCCTGGGGATGAGCAGTGTTTCTGTCTCCCTCTGGGAAAGTTCAGAACTGTGAACTAATCGTCTTTCACACCTCTCAGGGTGCAGTCATTAGCTCCTCTCCAAACTCGCTTCTGTGTCACAAAAGCAGACAGTGCTCTGGCAGGAAGATGTGGACCACTGCTGCTCCCGGGAGACCTGGATTCTCCTGGTCAGCTGTCATTTGACATCAGGATGAACACTCTAGGTGATAGAGAGGGGACAAGGCTGCCAGCCAGGGTTTGAGATGCAAGTTTGACTTGGCTCAGTGGAGTCCCTGCCTGGCCTGCAAGACTGTCTCAAGACTGCAGTACACCTCCTGTCCCACAGCCCTAGCCCCAGGTGGCATGTTTCTCTGGGGAAATGCATTGTAGATGAGGGAATAGAAGATTTGCATGAGTACAAAGGGAACATGAATTTGTGAGTCTCCCACAGCTGCCATATCGAAACACACAAAGGGCGTGGCCTAAAACAACAGGAATTTATTCGTTC